TCAACAACTGACGAAAATGTCTGAAAATAATTTTTTCTAAAACCTGAATAGAGATATCAATTTTTGTGCAGACTGTCAGAAAAGACTGTTTTAAGACTATTTAACGAGTTCCAACAAAACATTCTCAATTTATTTCTCAAATAAACATGAGATGTTCCGTTCACCAGGGTGGCTATCATTATGACGCGGTGTGCAGAGAGATTTTTGGTTACTGTAGTCCTAAAACACTTGACTGACACTTGATTCAGAGGACATTTAGGTTTTTGGAATGCTGAATCGAATGGCATTAGCCGTTTTTCTCCAGAATTTTCAGTTTTTTTGAAACCCTCAAAATATGGGGTGGTGCTATTATTATGACGCGCACTGTAGTTTGTCTCGACTAAAATATGGTCGTGGGGTGTCTAAAAAAATGTTTTTTGAAAAGTGAAATAATGATTAGGTCTTATTGTAGAACGTTTTTAGGCGCTATTTTGAACATTTTTTGTATTGGCACTATATTTACATTCATTTTTCCATCTTCCCTGGAAAAATTTCAATTTTTTGCAATAAAGCGACCATATTTTTGCAGGTGTGGGACCAGTCGGGACAAGTCGGGACAAACTATATCTCATATACCTTAAAAGTCCATAAACATGCAATATATGAAAAATCGGCCAGAAAAACAAGTTCGAATTTTTCTGTACAGCACTATTTCTGGTTCTGTCAGAGAATGTGTCTTAATGTTTAGTTTATATATATATATCAGTGAACATGGTCCAAAACCCAGAATCAGGAATCCGGAATTATGGATCCAGGAATTCAGATCCGTAATCCGGATATTTGGAATTCAGTATGCATGTTTAAGACCCTCTGTGTTTAAGGATCAGAATCTTGAGAACTCTTTGAGCTCAGATCTTCAACGGATTTATCAGAGCTCCAAAGTCCCCAAATTATTTTTTTTTCAGAGCATATTTTTTGTGGAACACTGTATTTTTATCTTCATGTTTCTGTATAGTCTTAGTGGCATATGCCCTTCAATCAGATCAATAAAAAATTTCGAAAAATACACGATGATGAATAATCCTATCAAAAAACTCAAGGATCACACTCGCGCTGACAAAACTCAAAAGAAAAAACCTCAATTGCAGCAACTACAGCAAAAAGGCCATGGGACCACTAAACTCCTATAGGACCATTAAAATCCAATGGGACCACTAAAATCCTAGGGGACCGCTGAAGTCCTATGGGACCACCAAAATCCTATAGGACCACTAAAATCCCATGGGACCACTAAACTCAGATAGAGCCAAAATGTTTTAAAGATACGGATGCAACACTCCTCATATAACGCAACAGTCGTACAACTGCACGTCTCAAAACTTGTATCATGCAAAGTTCAGAGGTTTAGTTTTTGTTTGGCTTTTTTATTCCATATATAGAAAGAAAAGTGATGTAATCTTTCCTATTTTGCAGGCTACGATAGCGATGGTAACCGGTTTCAGAGAATTTATGATTTTAATTGTGATATGAGCGACGTTGTGTCTACTACGCCTTCAGGAGACGTCTCCACAACACCTGCTAGGTTTTGTGAAAACGGAGGAATACTCTACAATTACACTGTAAGTTTAACAACTTGGAATGCTAAAATGTTTATTGAAAGACAGAAGGAATAGCTCAAGCCTTGTAAGAGGCGCGAGATGGGCATGGACAATATCCAGCATCTGGCCCTGGGGCGGCATCGGCACCACGCTCTCCTGGAACTCCGTTTTTTCCTGGGTGTCCTGGTGGTCCTGGTCGTCCAGCGTTTCCGTTCTTTCCAGCCTCTCCATCGTTTCCTGGAACTCCTGGGTTTCCAGCTGATCCAGCCTCTCCACGTGGTCCTGGTGGTCCTGGACGTCCTGGCTGTCCTGGTTTGTACTCGGTTCCTGGTTCGCCGCGTGGTCCTGGAGGTCCTGGACGTCCAGCAGATCCAACTCTTCCAGCGTCTCCTTGTGGTCCTGGTTCTCCGGCTCCTCCAACTGGCCCTGGTGATCCACGTCTTCCGTTTCCTCCGGCTGGTCCAGCAGATCCTGGTCCTCCTGGTGGCCCCTTTGGGCCTGGACGTCCTGGTGGACACTTGATGCATCCTCCGGGAATGTCGTGGGTGATGGCGACAATGACTCCTGGAGCTCCTGGCTTTCCATCGTCTCCGTCGTTTCCGGTGTTTCCCTTTGGTCCAGCCTCTCCTGGTGCTCCTGGTGGTCCGGATGGGCAGCCCTGGGATTTGGGTCCGCAGTTACACTGCTCAAATCCAGCTTGACGCGCGCTACGAGCTCCGAATAGAGTTTGGAAGGTTGGTGGAGAGTCGGAGCGTCCAGTTGGGTTGATATGCTTGCTAAGCATACGGGCCCAGGTGTCTTGGGTGATAGACTGAAAATTCGGAATGATTGAAAAACTTCTCGAAAAATGAACTAACTCTGAATTCAATCATGCCATCATGGAACTCGACTTGAAGCTCCTCGATCTCATTGAGAAGGTTTCCGATGGTGTAGAGGGAGGCGAGAACGCACACCAGAATGCCGCATGATCCTACCACGATGAGCTTGCCCATGTTGATGAACTGATGTCTTCTTCAGTTTCATGCTGTCTTTTTATAGCGGAAAATAAGAGAAAAGTGAAAGAAAAAAGTTACGCCTACTGAACCCAAAAAAATGGTTACACTGTAATGACACTTTTTGCGCGTTTGTTCCTTTCATCACTTCGGTTTTTTTCTGGTAAGGATATGCGAGGCAGCAAACAGTTTGAAGAGAATGAGAAATGCGGAAATGTCTCTCTTAAGTTTTCATATCGGTTTTCTTACCAAAATTGAAGAAAATAACAACGAGAGATACGCGTCTCCGTTAGAAATCGAAATTGTAATTATATAAAAGGTAATATCTTCTCAACCCATCTTTCAAAATGTTTGACGTCGTGAAATCAAAAAACAAAAATTTTGAAATAGGAATGAAAATTAAGAGAAAATTTGCTTTATGTGTATCAAACGGTGATGAATTCCGATACAAGTTTTGTAAATGATTTATATTTTGTTTCAATAATTGATATAAGAAAAGTTTCGAAAACTATTTACAGGGATGCTACTGTGGAGAATTTTTTTCGGGAGTCAACTGCGAAATACCGTTATGTTTGAATGGCGGAACCACAACCGGAAACAATGAAGGTTGCATTTGTGATATTGGATACAGTGGAGATCATTGTCAGCACATCTCGTGTCTTCAACTCGCTGATGACCAATTCGAAGAAGCGCAGAGTGCCATTGGCTTTGTGATAAGAGCATCAACTTCCATGAAATCTCAGTTGAATGAAATTTCTGCAACTGCTGATAAAATTGTCAACTTCTATGAACAACACTATCCAATTTTTTTCCAGAAATTTGTTTTGACTGTGGTTTCAAACAATGGTAATATTGATGCTGGAAACCTGGCAATAAGTGCTACTTTTGAGGTGTTACATTTTCTCACGACTATGATATTGGAGAGGACTTTGTCGCATCAATCCGAAGTTTGGCAACTCCTCCAACTGAAACAGAATGTGATGATGCTTTGATTTCGGGAATTTCGAAAACTTTAGACAACAACGCTTTTAAGAAATATCCAGTGAGTCCTATTCCCGGAATAATCCACATCTAAAACCAGCGAGATTACATCCGAACGTTGCGATTCTTTATCAAATTTACGCATGTTATTCAGAACTCACCCATATTTGTTTTCTCCGACGGAACATCAAACGACGATTTCACGGCAGCTGCCTATTTACTGGAACAGATCGTGAACAATCATCCCAAAATTTTCTTCATGATCACTGACTCGCCCAGTGGAAATTGCAACGTGGATGTCAGCACAAACACATTCGATCAGCTTCGTTCCATTTCACAACTGTCCCAAGGGCTTCTCATTCAAACAACCCTTTTCCAACTATCAGATGCCACTTTTTCAGTTGCTCAAGATCTGTGGCAATTTGATACCATTCTCACCAATGACTTGGAAGACTGCCGCAAAGCTCCTGTCTTCCAGCCATTTTTCGTTGATCAGTCGATAGATTTTCTGACACTTATAGCAACAGGATGTGAGTGTGAGACTCCTAACATCCTATTCAGTCCTAAATTTCAGCAAATCTCTCTCCCATTTTGACACTTCCTAACAACACTAAATTATCACCCCAATTGTTTTATTCAAACGGAGATTTTTATGTTTGGAGGACTGAAAAACCACCTGTTGGAGCTTACTTCGTACGTCTTTTGGTCCAACAACATAATCATAATCTCTGAAATTAAGTTGAACATAAACACTAACACAACTCACAACTCAATTTGTCAATACCGACTCATGGGAAGATCTACATACAGATTGTACACCTCAGTCACTGACAACATTTATACCGATGACACATACCACGCACCTGTCTACAGTAAGGTTTTGTTTTTAAGACACGTTCTCTGTAGAACTCAGGACTATTATCCATTGTACAGAAAAATTGAAACTTTTTTTCTGATTTTTCATATATTGCATGTTAATAAATTTCTAAAATACATGAGATATAGTTTGTCACGACTTATCCCACACCTGCAAAAATATGGTCGTGGGGTGTCTAAAAAAAATTTTTTTTCAAATGTGAAATAATGATAAGGTCTTATTGTAGAACGTTTTTAAGCACTATTTTGAACATTTTTGCACTGGCACTATATTTATATTCTTCCAACTTCTCTGGAAAAATTTCAATTTTTGCAAAAAAGCTATTTTTTTAACCAAAAAATGACCGTCCTGAAAAAAATTTCCATTTTTTTATAAAATTAAACATGAAATTTAGATTCTCCATTAAAAATACATTAGAAACTGTTTTGAGATAAAAGATAAACCTGAGCCCCTATGAGTTTTACGCCAAAATGTGTCCAAAAATGAGGTTTCACCATGTGGGGGAGTACATGGCAACAAAAATTCGACCAAAATCGACCCTCTCCAATTTTGTCCAAATTTTCACCAGATGTATTATTTTCAATGGGTAATATTCTGAAAAAGTTTCAGAATTCGTGCTCATCGTCTTTGTGCATTCTCAGAAGCACCAAAAAAGTGACAAAAATTGTGGGTTTCCAGTATAGCTTTTTTTCCAGTATTCCAGGTTTCCAGTATTCCAGTATAGCCCCCCGAAATATTCCAATATAACACCCCTGGCATAAATATTGGAATACACCCCCACCCACCATCTTTAATCAGGTGGGTGGGGGGTTCAAAAAATGTTTTTCCTGATTTTTTGCCTGAAGATCAAACGTACGCAGCCAAATTACCCATAGAAAAATATTTGTTATTTATCGATTTTGCACCGGTTTTTGTTAGTTTTCTTTAGATTTCCGCGTTTTTTCTACTTTTTGTTCAATTTTTCCTGATTTCTGGTTTATATTACCGTACATTTTTTGTCATTTTACAAAAGAAATAATTATTTAATGCCAGTCCCCAACAAAAAATAGGCTTAGGCAAAAACGGGTAGAAATGTTGAAGATTCCAAATAAATATAAGCTTAGCACCCTAAATCGGGTTATACCTTGAAAACAAGATGCATCTGGTGAAAATTTGAACAAAATCGGAGAGGGTCGATTTTGGTCGAATTTTTGTTGCCGCTCCCCCACATGGTGAAACCTCATTTTTGGGCACATTTTGGCCTGAAACTCATAGGGGGCTCAGGTTTATCTTTTATCTCAGAACAGTTTTAATGTGTTTTTTTGATGTAGAATCTAAATTTCATGTTTAATTTTATAAAATAATGATAATTTTTTCAGGACGGTCATTTTTTGGTCCAAAAAAATCTTTTTTTGCAAAAATTGAAATTTTTCCAGGGAAGAGGGAAGAATATAAACATAGTGCCAGTACAAAAAATGTTCAGAATAGTGCTTAAAAACGTTCTACAATAAAATCTTATTATTATTTCACTTTTGAAAAAAAATTTTTTTAGAACCCGCGACCATATTTTTGCAGGTGTGGGACAAGTCGGGACAAACTATATTTTATATACCTTAGAAGTTCATAAACATGCAATTTATGAAAAATCAGAAAGAAAAAACAAGTTTGAATTTTTCTGTACAGCACTATTTTTCGTTCTGTCAGAGAATGTGTCTTAAAGGAGGCCAGACATCAAAAAAAAAGTTGTTGAAATTTGTTGAACAAAAAGGGTTGAACTCATGACAGGCAGCTCAGGGGTACAGCGCCGCTACCCCCCTGAGCTACGGGGGCGCGAAGGCGCCTGCCGACCGATGGTCTACATGAAGGTGCAGATTAGGGAGCTCGTAGAAGGTGCAGATTAGGGAGCTCGACAAGAGGCAGAATCCTTGAGGGTGCACACAAAGAAATGAAAAAAAAAGTGAATCATTTTTCTAATATTCTCCCTAATCTGCACTCTGCACGTTGCTTTTTTTCACCTGTTTTTGACATATATTTTAAGAATGAGTGATTTTCGGTCTATCCTCCAAGAGAGTTTTCTTCCCGGCCCAAAATTCTAGATCGATTGATATAAAAATTCGCTTGCGGCTTCCCGGTCAATTTTCGAGACCTTGTCTCAAAATCAATTCAGTAGGATTTTCTGAACAAAATGTAGACTTCTTGTTATGAAAATGATCGCTAACATCTCTAGAATCTGTTTTTCATTGGAAAACCGAACTTAATTGCGAAAGAAGCTCGAACGAGGCGAAAATTTGAAATGTTACGTTTTTTCCGCACTTTTTCGTAGTTCAAAAAACGCTACGCCTTTCAAATTCTCAGGGCCCACTTTTTTAATTCGACAATACTCAAGGGCAATTTCAGAAACTACGTCTCACTTAGTAGCCAGAATGGATTCTCTATATCTGGATGACCCGCTAGACGCTACTTTTGAAGCAGTTGTGTGGTATAATGGTAATAAAAAACTTGAAAAACTAGACATCAATAATGCTATACAGATCCTCAAACTAGCCAGCGTCAACTTTTATATGCTTCTTCGGGAATTTGGAGAGATCAGTGCCTGTACGAAATGTATTTTGGAATGTATGCATGCCCTCAGCCGTATCTTTCGTTGTACATTAATGTAATATAAAAATCCAAAAATGTCTGAAAATTATCAATTTAACAATTTTCAGATTTATACAAGTGACGGATACGATCAGACCATTTTGAGAACAGCCACTTCTTATTGCTCAGCGACTATTCTAAATCCGGTGGACAGCACCTGCCTAAACGGTGGAGTCTATTATAACAACACGTGCCAATGTCCAACACATTTCACAGGAGATAAGTGCCAACAGGTTAGACGCAATTTAGACTATTTTTTGTCATTTACTGTAACTTTATATTGCTGTTATTTACACGTGAGTTCACGTTTGTATCTCAGATCGTATGCGAAAATGGTGGAAACGCTCTATTTGGATCATGTCAATGTCCAAGCGGTTTTAGTGGGCAATTTTGTGGAGTTACCAAATGTTACGAGTACAATGGATATGGTTTCTGGGGATTCAATCATAGAAGTCTGACTGTGATGATTCATGATTCTCTCACAACTCGCTCGACGCTTCGAACTTTGAATGATGTTGCTCCAAGAGTGATCAACGATATTCTCTACCAACATCCGAAATGGATATCTAATTATCAACTTGTGGAATTCAACAATACTGATCACATGCTTCTAGTTGATAGTCCCAGCGGCCAGGATTTGGTGACTGGGATTTCGACGTTTTATAATCAAAACCGTAATCACACTGGATATTCTTGTCTGGGTCTCAATTTTTATTCAACGCTTCTCGATACCATTTCTCATGACAAGTAAGATGGACGCTAAGGTATTTTTTAGAAAATTAAATTTCAGCATCCAATGGGGTGGCATAATCTACGTATTCCTTTACGGTCAACCTGCACAAGATTTAGATTCTTATGAAAAAATTCTACAAAGAATAGAAATCAACAAAATCCAGATCAACATTGTTCAGTCAAGTTTGAATCCATGCGGACAAGATATAGCAATTGATGGACTTTTGTCGTTGACTCAGTTTTCTGGAGGGTCTTTTATCACAGCTACAACTCCGAAAGCTGGAAACGTGTTCAGCCAAATTCCCACTCATTACATGTCAAATTTGGTGTATGAAAATATGGCGGAAGACTGCAATGACACCACTTTCTATGTGCCTATTGATGTAGGGACACAGTCATTCACAGCTTTAACACAAGGTTTGATGACAGCAGATCCACAATACATCCCACCAACGGGTAGAACTTTTTTTAATGAACGAATTCACCGTAAAAAATATTTACAGACTCTCTTTCCACAGTTACTAATGTGTTCAACGATCTCGGAACCAACGCTAGAATTGATCATATTGTAAGAGTTTGTGATGATGGTTGGACAGTCGATGGTAGTCATTGTTTCAAATTTTCATTCGAGGAAAAATCTTGGTATGCCGCCCTCGCGGATTGTCATGATGAACAGGCAGTGCTAACGGGAATATTCAACAAAGAAGAGCAAGATGGATTGAATGGTATGGTTTCTTCCAAATTAGAAATGTATCTTTTATGACACTTTGTTATTTAGTTGAAAAAATTGAAAATATCCCTTTTAGATAAAACCGACGAGGCACAATTTTGGATTGGTCTTAGTGATTTCTTGACGCCAGGACAGTGGGAGTGGGACACTTTGGATGCCAATCTCAATTTGACCCTTCAGGATACACAGTACACTAATTGGATGGCCGGACAACCTTCGGGAGACGCCAAGAAAAAGTAAGAATTGTGTGGAATTAGAGACTTGTTTTTAGCATAGAATATCTGACTCAATAATTTCAAAGTAAATGAGAAGTTTGAGCTGGGTGTCGAAATAATATAACAGAACTTATTAGCTTCAGTTGTGTTTTGGATTCCAACAAAGGGCTGGCGTCAAGTAGAGGATGGATGGCAGAAGACTGTACGAAGAGCCACTACTATGTCTGTCAGAAACACGCATGTAAGTTTTTTTCAGTCCCATTTCCTCACTAAAATTTTGAATTTCAGACAGCGCGGATTACACTGCTTCCGATCCGGAAATCAGTGAGTTTCTAACATGCCATCAGTGTCTATCAACCGTTTTGTACAGATCACCTCGCACGTGGAATCTGGAAAATTCGTGTTCAGGCCAAAGGATCGTGCAGCATTTCTGTGAGGTCCCAGTCAACAGTTCAAGTATCTACCAGATTCACAACTAACATTCACGACGATGTTGGGAAAGAGGAACCGAATAGATTCGCTGGTTATTCTTGCAAAATTGTAACAATTTCAGTTAAGATTTTTTAGATACTAATCGTCTGATGGTCTACACCTATGGAGTCAACAATCCATCCGGTGCAGAATATGCTCATTTCTACTATGACAATTTTACAATGCTAGAGGCCCAAACATTAAACCAACGAGATAATTGCATGTACAATTTCATTTCTACGCCATTCTCATGTCCCAATTTCTACTTTCAGATGTTGATCACAGGTGGAAAAATAGTTTTCAGATGAGACAAAAATACTGTTTTTCAGGAATCGATGACGCCGGATTCCTCTATCAAAGATAACACCTGCTGCATGTGTTGGTGGTGTTAATGAGAATTCTTGTACCAACGGAGGAGTTTACTATAAAGGAAAGTGTATCTGCACACCCAACTTCTATGGAGATTCTTGTGAATACGCTTACTGTCAAAATGGAGGTTATTTGTCAGCAGCTCTGAACGAATGTACTTGTCCAGCCAATTTTGGTGGCACTTTCTGTCAGATGCGTAAGTTTAAATAAAGTAAAGAATCTATATGAAAAAAAAACAATTTTAGCAATTTGTGACAGAAATCAACTAGACGTCCCTGCTATTGGAGATGTCCATCGCACATTTGTCGTTGTGTTAGATGGTTCGAACAATGGCGACATGAAGTCAGTTAATGATAACTTTGAGAAGACACTGAACGGCGTTCTAAGTTCAGTTTTGGTATGATTCAATTATTTTTCCAAGTCATATAATACTATTTTCAGGCACAAGATCCTTCTTGGTTTACCACTTTTGTTGGAGTTGTTTTCCGAGACGCCGAATCCACGAAGGCAATTCCACCTATTCCCTCAACTTCTAAAGTCTATAGTTCCACAAACATCACAGAGTTCGCATCAATGCTAGCTATTGAAATCAAAAACAACCAGTACACTGCCCAACAACAAAAACGAGACTTGTTCACCGGAATACTTCGATCAATCATCAACACTAACGTTGTTCCTGGCTCTAAAGTATTTGTCATCACTGCTGGAAATGCTGAAGATACGGTTGATCGTCAGACAGTTATTTCTGCTCTGGCTTTATCTCACTCTTCACTACACTTCCTTTTCATTGGAGATACGAAGCCACCAGGAGACGCTGTAAGCTACGATGATCCCACTGTTTACACAATGTTTGAAGCTGCTCATATCACTGGTGGCGCTTCATATCAGCTTTCTTCACCTGACGATCTTCAGAACACTTGGCTTTCAGTCCTTGCTAGTCTCCATCAGTCATATTATGTGGTCACTCATCAATTCAGGTTAGTTCGTTTAAATAATTTTTCGCAATGTCACTATAGTAGATTCAAATTCTTTGTTCCTCCAGAAAAAGGGTTTCGAATTCAAAAGTAGTTTTGACAAAAAGAAGGAAAGTTAGTTACTTTTGTTTCTGCCACTACTTTTCTCTTCTTCTAAATTATAAACCATTCATTTAATCAAAAAGCAAAAACAGTAGGTTCCACCGAGATTTGAACTCGGGTCGCAGGATTCAAAGTCCTGAGTGCTAACCGCTACACCATGGAACCGCACACTCCCTTCAGTGTGTTTTCCGATTGTATGCTGACGGGAAGAGAGGGGTAGAGAAAATTGTCCAGTGTGAATTTTTCTGTGTGCGATGTCTGGAAGAGGAGAAGAATGCATCGCATTTTTGGGGCGATATCTCGCAATCTAAGTCTAGTTATGAATAGCACAGAAGCAATATGTCTCTCAACGTTGACTTCTCGGGAACCGATAACATCTCATTCACTTCTATCTTTTTTATGAGCGGCAATAGTCGCAGTCGCCTCGCCACCGCTGCCCCGAGGCCTCTTTGGAACAGAAACGTTTAGCATTCATAGCGTTGAGAGACGCAGACCCAAATCGTTTTTGCCGGCAGCGGACGACGCAAGCAGGGTAAATATTTCCTGGAAGGAAAATGCAAGAAGCGCAGACATCCGCCCACAGAAAGCGCCTCACACAGGCAGCCTTCACGAGCGAGATATGACATTTTCTATGTTGTCCACAAAGAGAGACCAAGTGTGTGTGTGTGTGTGTGTGTGTGTGTGTGTGTGTGTGTGTGTGTGTGTGTGTGTGTGTGCTGGTGAGATCGCTGGTGAGAAAAAATATAGTGCTGGTGAGAAAAAAATATAGAGTTCAGCACTCCTTGGCTCATGATGAAAAGAATATGACTTTATTAGAACAAAACCAGAAGAGCAAAAAAAATGGGAAAGCAAAATTGAATGAACAGGAATGAAGGATTGATAACAAAAATTCAAAAAATCATTCACAAAAAATTAGGCTGAATTCCTTGATTTGAAGCCAAAATGCAATATTAATAAATTCAACACACTTTCAGCAATTGTTCCAACTACCAAGACTTTGTTCAATTAGATGCCAATGGAACCGAAATAATTATTGACATCTTTGCTCAATCTGCTCCAGAAATTGCAGTTTATGATACAGATAGTTCGATTTTTCGCAATTTATGTGGAAAACATGACAGAGAATTTCAGATAAGCAAGTAGATTCGTTCTCGATTGTCAACTCAAAAACGAATACTGTAAAAGCATTCAAGCAACCTGGAGATCAACCGGGAGTCTGGACAATTGATATAGATTATGGAATGAGCAATAGTGGACCATGTACAGTATGTTTTAGTTTGTTTCCAAAATAGTAGTGGATAATAGAAAAACGCTATGAAAATTATTAAAGGGGGACTCCGACCAAAAATTTGTATTGCATTAAAGGTGGGGGAACATGAAAAAAACAATGTTCTCGATATTCTGTCTAAATATGCCCCTCGAGGAGTTGAACTTGTAGGGGCGAAGATTGAGAGTGCGGCGCCGCTACCGACTTAGCCACGCGGGTAAAGAGAAAGCGGCCGCCCGATTGCATACATAAAGGCGAGGACGACAGCTGTACGCAGAGTGACATTAAGCGTTGTACACCGTCACGGTAGAATGCATACCCTAGCTACAAAAATCCTACGAAAAATCTCCTGTCCCCCCACCTTTAAAATATCTCTGATGATATGTATTTTCCGAATATTATATCGAAAACATTCAAAAAAAATTCGTTCTCCCCGAAAGACGCCGTTAAAAACATAAAATTAAAGAAAAAAAAAGATGCCGCCGAGGGACGAGGATTTGAATTGCCGCGCGATGAGAAAACTAGTTTACGGCCATGGAAAACTTTTCCACGCATTATTGATTTTTGCAATTTCAGATTTTTTAGCTTTCATCTTTTTTCTTTCTGTTTTTTCTTTCGAAAACTTAGAATTTCGCACAAAACTTGATTAATGTATATGCGAAATACACAAAAAATCAATGATCTCGGCCTAAAATTGACTTTAAAAAAATTTTTTTGCATTTCCATTACATTCCGACCATCGAAAAAAACCCGGATAACAGCCAAAATCTCTGAAATTTTTCAAATATATAGCACATTCTGTCATCAGAAGTCTCGGAGTGACCTCTTGTCCGCAACACTATTTTTTTTTCGAAATGCATGTGTAAGAATGCATCTTTGTTCCTTATCGTTTCCGATTCTAAAAAAAAATTTCAGCCGGACAACGGCAATTTTCATGAGGAAATTATTGCTTTTTTGTGTATTTCGCATATACATTAATCAAATTTTGTGCTCTCTATAACGTTGTTTTTCGAAGAGTTTTCCATGGCCGTGAACTAGTTTTTTTCATCGCGCGGCAATTCAAATCCTCCTCCCTCGGCGGCATCTTTTTTTTGCGAATTTTATGTTTTTAACGGCGTTTTTCGTGGAGAACAATTTTTTTTGATTTTTTTCGATATAATATTTGGAAAATACATATCATCAGAGACATTTTAATGCAATAAAAATTTTTGGTCGGAGTCCCCCTTTAAACGGCGAAAAACATCAATACCAATTGTCTCAGCTCAATTTACGGTCCCAATCAAAGCTTGAAGTCGACCTTGGCTTCACACAAGACGTCGGAACAGACGGTGGGTACCATGACGGAGGAGCTGTTTTGTATCCCAGAGGAGGGGACTTCAAAAACGCAATTGTTGCTGACATTTCATCTGGAGCCATTTTGAGTTACGCTCAAATTTATGATTTGGCAGAAACTCGGATAGCGTGGGCTAGTCCATTGATAAAGAGAGATGGATGTGCCTATCCATATGTGTCGGCGAATACCTTCCAATGCTATAAAAATCAATTTGTTGTTGATCTGGATGGAATCGATTTTGAAGGACATCCATTCAGAAGAACGTTTACGATACATTGTGATGGTGAAATTAGACCACCTGGTAAGCTTGAATTATTTAATATGCGAAAACGACGATTTCAGTGACCGCACCACCAGCCCCATCCACTCAAATAATCACAACTGCTTCATGGACAACTCCAAAACCGTGTGATGCATCCACTGCCAAAATGGACATCATCATAGCGTTCGACTCTTCTGATACCATTTCACAAGAAATGTACTATTCTGTGAGTTGATTTAAAAATCTTTCTCCAAACAAATTGATGATATGTAGACAATCGGAGCTGTCAAAAAAATTGGTAATTCAATAACCATCGGACAAGACAAATCCCGGATAATTGTTGGAACATACGACGCTACATCACATTTCAATGGGAACCTGAATACCATCGATAGCTTCGATAGATATCAAGAAAAAATAGCTGACCTTTTCAGTTTGGGATACACTGGAATCAACGGAAACAATGTTCAATCGTGAGATCTAAAAATTGTTTTTTAAAATTATTTTTAAACTGTGCTTGTTTAGCGTTCTTGACTTCATTATTGTTGAAAATAGCACCGCCCCATTACGCCAAGCTCCGGTTAGAAAATTGCTTATCCTTTTGAGTTCACAAGGATGGGATCAAGGAAACTTTGTGGAGGGAAAAGAGCAAGGGTTCCAGGATCCTACAAATTCTGCTCAGTCTCTTCAGAAGGTAATTTATCAGTTTTTCGCTCTTCAATTTCCCTATTTTATAGATTGGTCTTGAAACGTTTGCGATTGGCCTTGGAAATACTGCAAACATGTCTCAATTATCTGCCATAGCGAAATGCTCTACAAAAGTTATGAGTGAGAGTGCTCTCTATAACGTAGTTTTTCAAATAATTTCAAATATATGTGGAACCAATCCAGTCTGCTGATTTTATCAATCGATAATAAATGTTGTGTTTATTTCAAATACACGAAACTTTTTTGTGTAATTTTTCCTGCAATCCTCTTTGATCAAATATTCTGGCACTTGTCGATTAACATAAACTTTTTTTTGTAGAATAATTTCAAGGAAAAATGCAAAGGAATGGTGGTTCAAACGCATTAGCTATGCAAATTCGACTACAAACCACTTACTTTTTTGAGAAAACCAGCGACGGAAAATAAAAAAAAGTATTTGTTTTTGCTAAACCTACTAAAGCCGAAAAAGGATTTCATGAGGAGACAAATCCCTCACACGGAAAACATTTTATATGCTTTCAATTAAATCTCCGCCAAAAATTATGTGATAGATAATGCTGACCTGTAAAAAAACATGTTTCTTGTGTGGAACGCATGCGTCTAAAAAACGCCGTGAAAAGCTTCTTAAAGCTCTATCTGAATTTAGTGGCACCATGCCATTTTAGTGGTCCCATAGGATTTAGTGGTCCCATAGGATTTTAATTGTCCCATGGGATTTTAGTGGTCCTATGGGATTTTAATGGTCCCATAGGAGTTTAGTAATCACATGGAATTTTTTGCTGTCCTTGCTGCAATTGAAGTTTTTTCTTGTAAATTTTGTCAGCGCGAGTGTGATTCTTGAGTTTTTTGATAAAATTATTATTCATCACGTGTTTTCTGAACTTTTTTCATTGATCTGTTCGAAGGGCATATACCACTAACACTATACGCAAAAATCAGAATAGAAACACAGTGCTACATAAAAAAATATATATGACTCGGAAAAATGAAATTTTGGAGATTTTGGAGCTGTAATGAATTTGTTTGAAGCTCTGAACTTGGATAGTTTTAAAGATTCCGATCCCTATACACAGAGACCCTGATACATGATACTGAATTCCAGATTCCGCATTTCCGGAGTACGGTATCCGAATTTCTGGATTCAGAGTTCAGGATTTCGGATTCACAATTTTGGATCATGTGTACTGATTTATGTAAACTTAATACATATCAGATGATTCACTCCAGATTCTGTAAAAACAATTTTTTCTGAGCCTTACACTTATTTCTCAAGTTCCAATAAATATACTTATTAATGTCCGGATTCTGCTTTACGTGTTTTTAATGGTCTAGATAACTGGAATTTCATGTTTTGAAATCGGTACATTTGAATTCAATCAGAGAGATTATTCAATCTGGAATTCAGTATCATGTATGAGAGTCTCTGTATATAGGGGTCGGAATCTTAAAAACTATCCGCTTCAAACAAATTCATTACAGCTCCAAAATCTCCAAAATTTCATTTTTCAGAGTCGAAATATATTTTTGTTGAGCACTGTATTTCTTTTCTGATGTTTCTGCATAGTGTTAGTGATACATGCCCTTCAAGATCAATGAAAAAAGTTCAGAAAACACATGATGAATAATAATTTGGCTCTATTCTAGTTTAGAGGTCCCAAAAAAAATTAGAGGTCCCAAAAAATAGAGGTCCCAAAAAAAATTAGAGGTCCCAAAAAAAAATAGAGGTCCCAAAAAAAAATAGAGGTCCCAAAAAAAAATTAGAGGTCCCAAAAAATTAGAGGTCCCAAAAAAAATTAGAGGTTCCAAAGAATTAGAGGTCCCAAAGCAAAGTGTGGTATTCTCAAATTTTGTTAACTAGTAAAATGTTTATGTTAACTAGTAAAATGTTTATCAGGATATCAGCAACATTTTACTAGTTAGCCACTTTTTGATATCTTTCACAGAAAATGAGATATATAGGCTCAAAGTGGACGATCCGGGTGTCGTTCTATTAGAGGTTTTACGGTATCTGGAAAATTATTCTCGAGAAGAGAGTTTGATTTTTAACTTACTTCAAATGCTGATTCATCGACTTTTATTTCCATTTCAATCTTACTGGCTTCTTTTAATGGTACGAAACGGATATCTTGGGTGTCCCAGAATCCTTGGTCCTCATTGGATATGAAGGTATTATATACAATCATCTGAAAACGAGTCTCTTGTGGAATGCTCAACCACCTGCTTCAAGAAGGCACCCGATATCTACACCAAGCCGGACAACTAACCGAAACCGCTCTGGACATTTGAGAGGAAGAAACAAGGATGAAGACGAAATAGAAAACCGATCCCATTCTTCATCTGATACTTCGTCAGGCTCTGAACAAACGTCAAGCTCGGGTACTTGTTAAATACATCAATTAACCCTAATTTTTCATATCAGACGATGAACTTGAGCACAGCGCACATCAACCTACTAACGGTCTCCTGTTGAATGCTCAACCACCTGCTTCAAGAAGGCACCCAATATCTACACCAAGCCGGACAACTAACCGAAACCGCTCTGGACATTTGAGAGGAAGAAACAATGCAGGCTCTATCCAACGAAGACGAAAAAGTCCTGAAAACTCTCCTGTGAGTACTAGTGTTCGTGGAACATCTCGCGGCAGATCCAGAAGTCGTGGTGGAAGACTCCATCAATCAACACCGTCATCGCTTTCTCAGAATTCCCTAAACCGCACTATTGCAGTTTCTGCGACAGAAAGTGATTCGCCTCCTTATCCAGTTTCAGGACGCACATCTTCTGCATCATCTACTGGGACATCTCGTAAAACTAGTCGCCGTATAAATAATGGAGCAGATGTTGGCACAAATCAACGAAGTCAACTTGTGGGAAATCTCGTGGAAGTAGGGGCCCTCGTTTGGGACTTCGTGGATCGGCTTGTGGAAAAGTTTCTTCTACCACTCTTGGAAAAAATACTGCAGAAAATAACAACCGGCGTGGTTCGACACAAAATACCGGAGCCGCTGGACGATCAGTTCCGGGAAGAGGGAGACCTCGTGGAAGAGCTCGCGGAAGTGTACCAATTCGTGGTCAGCGAATGAAGAAAGATTAATAAAACGTTAAACAAAATGTTCTTAACAAAATTTGAATTGAAAAAAAAACTTGAATCTCTGTTCAGCCAAAAATTTTGTTCACCCAAACTTTGATTTGAGAATACCGCACTTTGCTTTCGGAGCTCTAATTTTTTGGTACCTCTAATTTTTTGGGACCCCTTTTTTTTTGGGACCTCTATTTTTTTTTGGGACCTCTATTTTTTTTGGGAGCTCTATTTTTTTTGGGACCTCTAATTTTTTTTGGGACCTCTAATTTTTTTTGGGACCTCTAAACTAGAATAGAGCCAATAATTTTATCAAAAAACTCAAGAATCACACTCGCGCTGACAAAATTTACAAGACAAAACTTCATTTGCAGCGACGACAGCAAAAAATGCCATGGGACCACTAAACTCCTATGTGACCATTAAAATCCCATGGGACCACTAAAATCCCATAGGCCCACTAAAATCCTATGGGACCACTAAAGTCCTATAGGACCACTAAAATCTTATGGGACCACTACTACCCCATGGGACCACTAAATTCAGATAGAGCCCTTCTTAGTCTCTCATCGCACTTTTCCACTTCATAGCGAAAACATTCACAGCTCTGTGATATTTTTCAATTAAATCAATGTTTGCAGTTTAAACTCTGCTGTGAAAGTAATTAGATTTTTCTAATTGAAAACAAAGCTGTAGAATTCAATATTTTGTTTCTTCATTTTTCAGAACAACTTCACACATTTGTTTACTCAGAAATGTTCAGTAGACAACTTGAAAAAAAGTTTTAACGGCGATACAAAGAACGATAGAACAGTGATCTTGGGAAAGAAGGGAAACTGCCGTATGATTGTTGTTGGATGCAAAACCCTTCGTGGCAGAGGTGTCCTGGAGCACACGGAACTTTTGGTCCGCAGAAGTCGTAAATGGAGACTTTTGACTCGGATGGTAGAGCGATCATTGCTTGGGAGATGTTCGAAAAAAAGGCAGCAATCTGAAATTTAACTTCAATGACACAGTCGAAAGACATGTTATGACTTACCAATAAAAGTTTGACAAACATTCTGTCAAAAGTAGAAGAAGTCGAGGAAATCAAAAATCTGAGTGAGTCCTTGAAAGGGGGGGGGGCAGGAGTGAAAGAATAAAATGGAAATAAGGAATTGGCAGTCGAGGCGTGACAGATTCAGAATTTTTTCCAACTTTTGACGAAAGAGGTTGTGGGAAATGTTATGAGAGAGTATGGACGAGAGTGAGGGAATTCAACAACAAAAAATTAGGACCAAGATGAAAAACCGTGAGGTTCCATAAAACTATTCGATCAAAAAATGTGCATTTCCTGCTGTTGTGCTCATTCATCCGTTCTGGCATTACAGTTTAAAGGAACACAATGAGTCACAAAAAATATATTTGTGTTATTTTTTCATGAGGAAACATGGGGAGAAATTTGTTTTTCACAAGAAAATTTTGCATGCACAATATCTTTCGAAAAATCCAAAATGTCAAACCGTATCCTTGATTATTTTGTATTTTATAGTATGGTATGGACGAAAATTCGCTTAGAAATACGAGATCAAGAAACTCAAAATTCCCGGAATGAAAAATTTATAGGAATAATACGGAAGCTTGCAAGGGAACGTTTTAAAAAAAAGCTTTGGGAATTTGCTGAAAACTTCAGTACCTATAGTTTGACACCTCCTCTACACGATGACAAAAAAATCTAGGTCCCATTCCCATCAGAAAGCTGAAAATTTTCGTCTGAAAGTTTGAGCCCGATTTTGGCGCGCCTTTCTCCTCTCTCCTATACGCCCTCCGCGTGAGAAGAAAATATCGGCTGTGTGGTGTTGTGGTAAGAGGGTGATTCATTATGAGTGACTATTGTGGTTCGAACCCCACTCCGGTAAAACTTTTTTTTTCGAAACGAATCCCCGATATTCATTTTGGTCCTTTAGATAACAAATTTTATTTTTTCATGAATTTCCAAGTTTTTTGAATTCCAAAAACAAGGCTTGAAATTTTCAAGGAATTTTGAAACGATTTTTCGACAGACATTATTCTATCGCACGAAAAACAAATTTTTTGACTGTAGATATTGGTCCATCTTGTTCTTTTTGAAGTTGAACCCTTCTAAATAGATCACATATACGATTTTTATATATTTCTGTACGTTTATATTGATTTTAAGCAATATTTGAGTAATTAGGACTTTCCAAAGTTCTAGCAGTAATCATATTTTGAGAAATATAAGAGGTGATAGTTTCCGAAAATTTTCGAAAAAATGTTTTTTTGAAATTGTTGGAAAACTTATTCAGATGATAGGAAAATGTTTAAAAATGAGTTTCACATTTGAAAAACCCATGGAAAACGACTTTTAAAGCTCGAAAAATGCGCAGTATGGAAAAAAACGAGCCGCTAAAGCATTCAAGTTGTCTTTTTCCTAATCCTTAAAATTGAAATCAGATGATTTTGTTACCACTTCTAACATGGAGTATGATAGTTTTCGAGATATTAGTAGTCAATAGTTACTTCTCCACTTTCAACATTTCATTAATTATGTATCATATTCAAATATAAATGAACATATATCATTATTAAATAATAAATATTTAAATGTATCTTATAACAAATGAAGATTTAACGAGCCGCGACAGTTCAGAGAGGTAAAATGCTAGACCCAAGAAGTAACATTACACATTCGGTTTGACACGCTATCTGCTTGCTTGCATTGTAATGAAGCACGCCTGAGTTACAATCCTTCTTAGCAACAGTGATTGTTGTCAAGGATGTCCATGGATGCTTTCTGATCAAAACCAGTGTGTGAAGTCATGACAACACTTCTACGAATCTCGAGCACATTATTCTATCATGGGAGTTTGAATTGAAACTGAAAAAAAACAAAAAATAATACATCTAATTTGGAAGGTAAAAAAGGACTGTTCAGAAAATTTACGAAACGAAGTGCGATGAAATAAAATGAAACCTCTCGTTTTGTTTTTGTTTCAGACTTGTCGGAACCCTGATCTCGTTGGAATCATTACTAATAACCATAGTTGCAAAATCTCGGGCCAGCCCGGCCCTTTTGGACGGATCTTGGACAGCTTTTGGTCAAAAGTTGCCCACTGGTAGCAGTGAACGGACACTGGTCGGATTTTGGTCGGAAGTTCAAAGTGTTGAAACGAAATGGCGGTGTGCAACTTTCGACCAAAAGCTGATTAAGTGGGATGGTCGGACGTTGTACGGATCTTGGCCGGAATTTGAAGGCGTTGCGTGTAATGCGGCACGTGCTTTTCTCATTCTAAATTTGTTTTCCGGACTATTTTTTGTCGTTTTCCTTAAAAACCTTGATTTTCATACTTGTGAAATTTCGGCCCGGCCCGGCCCGCCCGGGCCGAGAGAAAATTTTCAGGGCCCGGCCCGGCCCGGCGGCCCGGCAGAAAAAAAAAATTTTTTGAAAAATGAATTTTTGTTTTTGAATTTTGTTTTTGTTTTTGAAAATGAATTTATTGATTTTTAGAATGTATTGAAAAATAACTCGAAGAAAAAAAACACTGAATACCTTTTTTCGAAACAATGATTCAACTTTTCGCTCAAGATTTTGAAGTTCGCGGTAAACTTCCGGGCCGACCGGGCCTCCCGGGCCGGGCCGGGCCGGGCCGGGCCGGTGAAATTCGTGTTTCGGCCCGGCCCGGCCCGGCCCTTCACAAGTATGTTGATTTTTAACTGTCATTCTAATTATCAAAGTAGTTTTTTTCAGACAAATACGTCGGAGACAATCGGAGATAATGTTTTTGAAAGGAAAGTCAAAGATTTATCAGGTAATTTTTTCTCTGGACGTTTGTCATAGAAATTTAAGTTTTCAGATAACTAAAATACTTGGCAATTTTTGAAAGCCAATTGCTGGGAGGACATCGCAAAGGACAGGTTCTTCTATTTATTCAAAAAAAAGGCAAGTGAAAAAATGTGGACTAAGTTCAGGTTTACCAATTTGTTCAAGTTTTTCGAATGTTTACATGAAAATTTCGTACTTTGCGCTTGTTTCCATAAAAATGCATCACTTTGAAAAAAATTAGGTCGTTTTTTGCATGAACAACTCTATTTTAACTGTTTAAAGGGGGACTCCGGTCAATTTTTTATTGCATCAAAATGTGTTAAAATGTATCTATTTTCAGAATATTTTTGCAAAAAAATTCGAAAAAAATCCGAAATCCCCAAAAACGCCTTTGAAAAGGAAAAAAATTCAAAAAAAGATGCCGCCGAGGGACGAGGATTTTCAGTGAGAAACCTAGGCCACGCGAGCGGGGCGACTTTCTTACCGGACAATTTTTCCGGATTTGTTTCGCTTTTATCTCCGACAGGTAAAAAATGTTAAAAAACACTGTCGGCCAGTTGAAAATAATGCTCTCAGGCGCCGCGGCCTAGGCTTCTCACTGCGCGGGAATTCAAATCCTCGTCTCTCGGCGGCACCTTTTTTTGAATTTGTTTCGTTTTCAACATCGTTTTTCGGGGGTTTCGGATTTCTTTTGAATTTTTTCACAATAATATTAGGAAAATAGATAACTTTTAACACATTTTCATACAATAAAAATTTTTGGTCGGAGTCCTCCTTTAATATAACGCTATTCAGCTTGTTTTAGATTTTTCAGGCTTACAAGGAAAGTGTTTTCAGACAGTGTTTGAGAATTTCTTGAAAATTAGTACACATATACTTTCGGATATAATCAATAACGAGACGACTTTTTTTCGTGCCCCTCGGTAACTGGAAGATGAAAAAACGCGTCTGAAATTTCACCTCTGTTAAAGCATTAAAAGCGTGAGCGCGATCTTCCCCTTTCTTATACACAGTGTGGAAGAAGTGAGGAACAGCGAGTGTGATGTAGTGGTGAAGAGGGATGGTGAGAACTGACAAGTGTTAGTTCGATCTCTTTTTCCCCGATTTGTTTTCTGCTTTTTTTTCTGATCTTGCTGGAAATCTCAAGTGTGTCAAAACCTTTAGAAAAAATTTCCATTCAGATTTTTATCAATTTTGGAAAAAAAAATATTTTTGACTTGTTTCAAAAAAAAACCCAAGAAATTAATTAAAAAATTTTCTTAAAGAACTGCTGGACCACCCAGATTTGCTTAGTTTGGATGCGGAACAGTAATAAATTAGTCAGAAATTACGTAAACCTATGTTTTTACAAGATTTGAGAGCTACTGGGTGATTACCGAAGGCCTACGATCCATCCAAGTTTTGAAAGAAAGCACATATTTGTGATTTCGAAACATATTTAGAATACCAAATTTCATGAAAAAACTCATTTCATCGGTTCTCTACGTTTAGAAATCATTTTAGCACATTTGATTTTTCAAAAAATTGTAAAAATTTCCAACGAGGGCGACTTTTTTCAAAAACAATTTTTTTTTGAAAAATGAGGCTACTTCTCAGATTGTAGAAAAACCTTCAAAAGTACGATTTACATTCGAGAAACTCCGAACAACTGTTATTAACCCCTCCAAAAATTCTCTCCAAAAGTGAGAAATTAGCACTGAAATCACTTTCAGAGCCCATGACTTTTTTGTGAGGGGCAGGGGGCAAAAAATAAAAGCAGCGCTGTAAAAAAATCGTTAAAAAGGTTTTGTGAGTATCACGATAGTATAAAGAGAAAATGATAGACGCAGGGAGTCGAAGTGAATATGACTCATATACTGTGACGTGGTGCAATGAAAGCAGATGAGAAATGATAGGCGTAGAGAAAAACTCTACGTTGGGGCCTCCTGAATTTGTAAAATTGTGAAATCGTTGAATTTTGATATTGCGAAATTTTGAAGTTCGGATGATCTCAAAATCTAAAATTCGGAAATGCTAAAATGCTGCTATTCATTTGAAAACAAAATTTCAGATTATCTTCTCGAAGTTTACCGCAACCAGGATTTGGTCGGAGGTTGGTCGGCTTCCGATAATGTCTAGGCCGGAATGGTGACCAACCTCCGTCCAGAAGCCGACCAAGCTCCGGCCAGAAGTTAACGGCGACGCCCGAGAGTGTTCCTAGAGGATAAGCGATGCAAGCAAATAACAGTACATGGTTA